AAACTAAGGATATTGATTTTCAAGCTCCTCCAAACGTAAAAGGGGTTTTATTGAATCCAAGACCAGGATACATCCAAGGATATTGAATATTATACCCCTTCAACATAAAATTTTGAATTTTAGTTTGCCTATCTAGTCAAGAACATGGATTTTTTGACATTTGATACACTTTTTAATGTTAAATTGACATTTTTTCAAGGTTTCTTTACTGTAAACCAACTTTAATTCGCAAACGATAAATATTCACTAGTTTCGCAACTTATGCCTAGGTCACATTTAAGCCGAAGGTCTGGCAACTAAATTGTGGGCTGAAAGAACATGATCGACTGACACGATTATCTGGCGACAAGAAGCAGTCACATTAATTTTCACCTTCAAATTCATAGATGTAATTCTTTTTTTATCTATATATTTCAGCAAAAAGTACATTTACTGATGATTTTTTCAAAAATTGCTTTAAAAATACAATTGAAATATTTAGATCATGTCTCATGAATGGTTAATCACAGTTACCACAGAAACCAAATATTTGTTTAAAAAAAGATAGGCACAAAATAAATCTTGTGTCTTTCAATATTTTAGCTAATGGCCACTCATACAGTTTATTTCATACAAGCTAATCACATTGGCTAAATTGTATAGGCAAATACAATATTTTTGGAGATTTTGCCATGGTAACCAGATACAAATCACAAAAGCATATTTAAAAAAAATATATTTTCATGCATTTACAATAAACTGTAAAAATAATACATGTATGTTAGTCATTAATTATTTTGTATTTTATGGAGATTTTGTAAAGAAAATTTCTTTTAAAAAAGCATTTCAAGAATAATTTGTTACCATGGTTACAACAATTTATGAGAAATCCACTGGTTTTATCTAATATTTGCAAGGTTTAGGAGAACATTTTCTATCATATATTATCAATTTTTAGTGTTTGTGGTATATTTTCCGCAACATACTCTGAAAATGATGTATTTTGGTATTTTCTTGAAAAATGAATTTTTGTGATATTCCGTTGCCATGGTTACAGAATATTTTTGAAAAAACCATGGGTTTTGTTTTGTTTTATTAGAATTAAGAATGTGGTCTTTCTATCCCATGCTTTCAGTTTTCTTTAACATATGGGATTTTTTCTAACTATGCTCTTAAAAATGGTTATTATTGTGAAAAATGAATTTTTGTGACATTTTGTTGCCATGGTAACAGAATATTATCAGAAAACCCATGGGTTTTATTTAATTTTATTGAAATTAAAAAAGTGCTCTTTCTATTCCACATTATCAGATTTCTTTTACATGTGGGATTTTTTCTTACTATGCACCTAAAAATGATTATTATTGTGAAAAAAGAATTTTTGTGACATTTCGTTGCCATAGTAAAAGAATATTTTTCAAAAACCCATGGGATTTATTTCATTTTTTTAAAATTAAGAATGTGCTCTTTCTATCCCATGTTATCAGATTTCTTCAACCTGCGGGGCTTTTTCTTAATATGCTTTTAAAATATGTTGGATTTGAAGAAATATTGTAAAAAGTGAATTTTATGAAATGACCTATGTTAAATTGAAATTCGGTACCTTTAAAAAATCCTATATAACTTCATCCTAATGGTAATCATTTATCATTTTGTATGTACTTCTCAGGAAAAAAAATTTATTTATGGTACTATCATCAAAAAAGCTCTGTTCCCCTGTTCAATAATAGCTAAATTCGCAAATTTTTCAATTTTTTATTTGGTTGCCATGTGCATTTATATGGTGCATTGTTTCCATGGCAACAAAGGCTGGCCAAAAAAATTATTTTGTCCAATGATGTTCCCTTGGTCCATGAAGCAACATATTAAAATTTTGTGAAAATCTGAAATGGTCATGAATCACCCCCTGCCTGGTTTTTACAAATAGCTGTACTTTAAAACTATAAAACGAAAATAAATATCGCTTAATACATTATGCTTAAATAATTTTTTTTTCTAAAACGAGGTAAATTATTAACAAACAAGTTGATGAAACAAGAATATCAGCAGTATCGTTTAAAGTCATCATGTCGTAAGTTCTATGGTCGATACAATGACCTTGTCAGCAAATACAGTTTATCATTGAGTCGAATGCTGACTGACTGGTGTGACCTGTCTGCAGGGAATGATAACTCCCCCATGGCACCTGATCCCACCTCTGATGTTTCAGAGGTCCGTGTTTGCTCTGCTCCTATTTTGTATTGTTTTATGGACCTTGATATTGAAGACTGTACGTTATCTCCATATCCTTCTTGGAAGCATTTAAAAGCTAATGAGTGTGTTTATTTGGATATCTATTTAAAAAAGAAATTGAAGGAAAAATTGAACAATCTAAAAATGCAAAAAAAACGAATCATGAAAAGACAAAAACACTTATCCCTTAAAACACAAGATCTTGAGGGAACAAAAAACTCTTGTTGAACAGTTACACCCGCCATGAGCAGGACATGTCTTAATTTAGTAGATAGAGTACAGCAGTGTCAAACTCAGCTTAAAAGCAAAAACTAACAAATCGTATGGAACATTTTAGACAAAATAAGACACAACCGTATATCTAATTTACAAACAAGGCCATAATAATTACGACAAAAAAATACATCAAACGATTTTTTTAAATCCTCGTAACATCAATCTATTTCATATTAGCCTGCCTTGCATGGTAAATATGTAAGCTATTTCGCTTCGAAAATGTTTGGAGACATAAACACCACATGCAAACATTAAACACGAATTGGAGACGCTGCAAAGTCTTTAATTCAAATTCACTTATGAATTAAAGTAAGTATTGTTATTTCTTAAATTACCGTCGATAAAAGGGAGCACAAGTTGTGTCTATTGAGGTCCGAAAGATTGTTTACCTCTAGATAATTGTTTGGAAAATATTTGTAATTTAAAAGTATAACTGGTGAAAGTATGAAAGTGAAGTTTTTAACATGTTAAATTCTCTAAATGTCAATAAATCAGCTGGCATTGACTTTATTGGGCCGCGTCTTTTGAAAGTCGCATCTAAATATATATGTAAGTCTATAACTCTTCTTGTTAACGCTAGCATAGTAAGTGGTATTTTCCCGACAAATTTAAAACAAGCCAAAGTAACACCTATTTTTAAGAAAGGTGACAAAGCTGACCCGAATAATTATCGTCCTATTTCTATTCTACCAACTGTATCTAAATTGATAGAAAAACATGTAGCTAAGCTAATACAAAATTTCACTAATGAATTCGATCTTCTAACACAATCCCAGTCGGGATTTAGGGCACTCCATTCTTGTCAAACTTCCTTTACAAAACTAACAGAAAGTTGGCTTAATGCAATGGATCGTGGTGAACTAATTGGAATTACATTTATAGATTTTAGTAAAGCATTTGATTTGGTGAATCATGACATTCTTCTAGAGAAATTAATCCATTTCAAATTTGACCAAACAGCTATAAAGTGGTTTAAATCATATCTTTACAATAGGACCCAGTGTGTTAAATTTGGAACATGTGTCTCCAATACTCTACCCGTCACAGCAGGAGTACCACAAGGGTCAATTTTAGGTCCACTTTTATTTTTATTGTACATAAACGACCTTCCTTTACATGTAAGCAATTCAAATATTGATATGTTTGCTGATTATGTTACTTTGTACTCTAATAATCATAATGCAAGATGTTTAGAAAATCCACTAAATTCATATCTTTGTGAAATTGAGAAATGGTGTGCTCAAAATCAAATGGTATTAAATGTAGATAAAACGAAATGTATGTTAATGGGAACACAGCAAAGAAAATCAAAACTAGAAAATCCAAATTTACAACTTTATGCCTCAGACAAAACAATTGAAATGGTTGAAACTGAAAAAATTCTTGGTGTACATATTGATGATAAGTTACAGTATGCGAATCATATTGATTCGGTTTGTAAAACTTTAAATTATAAGTTATTTACTCTTCATAGGATTAAAAAATTTCTCCCTCTTCATACCAGGAAACTATATTACAATGCTTATATTTTACCATCTATTAACTATTGTTTGACTGTTTGGGGTAATTCCCCTAAGAAGGACATGGACAGACTATTTAAATTACAAAAAAGGGCAGCAAGGATTATTTTTGACGCAAGTCCTGATTCTTCATCTAAACCACTATTTGAGAAACTTGGATGGTTAACTATTTATGAGCTAGTTGATCTGTACAAATACATATTATTATACAAAATTTTCAGCGGAATGACTCCCGAATATCTTCATAATTTATTTGAATTTCATTCTTCAACTTCCTATAACCTGCGATCTGAAACTAATTACGATCTTAAATTACCAAAATTTCATACAAACTTATTCAAGACCTCTTTTCAGTACTCAGGTGTACATCTATGGAATAAACTTCCACAATACATTAGACTCTCTTAATCTTTACAAGCATTTAAACGTAATGTAGAAAATTACATTATCAGCTGTCGCTCAATTATTTATGCATATGTTTATGATCGTCATATTTCTGTATTGTCATATTTCTGTACATGGACACTGTATTCATAATTTGTGATTGTAATTCCTAATATATATGATGAATTGTATCTTGTATCTTTTTGTAATTGATGTATAGAGGGCCCTGGGGAAGAATAGTGCATGCACTAACCAGGTTACCTTCTTTGAATAAAGTTTTATTATTATTATTATTATCATTATTATTATTATTATTATTATTATTATTATAGAAAATTAAATATCAGGAAGAGTGATTCGAGGGAAAATATAGATTAGTAAAAATGTAGCCATTTGATGAAATACAAGACATGTATAAAAACCCTTTTTGAAAAAAAAAAATATATTTGACATTTTATTTATAAAGAATGTTTCTGTACAAATCTTTAAATGCGAATTCGTAGTGACTTCCGAATTTTATAAATAAACTTATTAGAATGGGATAAAAATTAATAGATCCGAAATTCAAAAACAAAATTATACATGTGTTATGAAAAGTCAATTTTTTTTTTATACATCTATAGTAGTTGAACTTGCCATAGAATCAATGACAAAATACGTGTCGTTAATATCGTCTTTTCCATCATAATCATCACTCAAAGAGGTAATGTTCTCGTTGACAATGTCTTCATACTGTTTCTTGGCATCCGCTGAGCAACTATAAGAAATAGACAAATCAACTTCCTCATCAAGAGTTTCACTGTTATGATCTGGATCTTCAATTTCCTCAGGGTCTCGTAAAACAGACGTTTCTTTTGCCAAAACAAAGTAAGGATTATTTTCCGTATTTCCCTTTGTTTCTGAGGCCACTCCATGATCTTTTTCCCTGAGTCCATCAAAATCCACGCTACTTTTATACTGGCCAGTGTGTGTCATTTTTGTTTGCTCTGAATCTTTGATGGCATCCATAACGGAGTCCGGCTCTTGATCTTCAATTTCCTCATGGTTTTTAACACCTGATGTTTCTTTTGCCAAAACAAAGTAGGGATTATTTTCCGTATTTTTCTTTGATTCTGAGACTAGTCCATGACCATTAGACTGCCCGGTGTGTGTCAGTTTTGCTTCCTGATATTCCTCATCTCCGTTTGCATTCATAACAGAATCTGATTTGTTTCCTGAAGTCTGGATTTTGTCAGTAGGTATTGCGTATGTACCAGGCAAGATGTGTACAGGTCCGATCATTCGTTCTCTCTTTTCGGGATCTCTGTAGATAGGCTAAATGAAAAATAGCTCAAAATGGTCTCAATCTTTTTAACTGTTGATCTTAGATTTATTTAATTTAGCAGGAATTTAATGTTTCTTTCAAACATGTAAACATAATTAATTCTAGTTTATCCTTTTAATCATCTGAATAGCTTTAAAAGCGCTTAATTGCCAAAGAATTTTCTGTTGTTTGTTTGGGTTTTTTTTTTGTAAAGAAGTTTTCTTTTTACATAACTTTTATATAGATATACATGTATGTGTATATCTGACATAATTCATATATTTTTTAAAAGTTTTATTGATATTTTTAATATTTGTGCATGTTACAAACTAACAAAAAGAGTATGTTTAAATGTGAGCCTCACAGCATGAGCAAAAGCGACGGAGGAAAGAGAAAATATCGGTATGTCGTCAAATACGTGTATGTGAGATATCGATGCACTATTGAAACTTTTATTGAAACTTGAAAATTACCATTAATTCGTACTCGTCGATATCTTGATATACAGAGTTGTTTTCTTCTTTGGTGCATTTTCTTTGTTTTTCAGTTTTTCTGGAAAAAAATCATTTTTTTTCTCTGGAAAAATCATTTTTCTTCTTTTTTATGAAATACTTTAATTAAAAGTGCTTCAGACCTATTAACACGCACAAAAAATATACTATGCAAATCAGTTGAATTTTATCTATGCATTATGAATTGATTTTTTTCTTATTTGCAAATAATTACAATTCATTACCCTTTCTTATAGACAGAGTATTTCCAAACAGTACAGAAAACAGCTGATGATGCTATTATTCCTACTGCTGAACCAAACAAAAACCACCACCCATCTGGAATTGTTTTCTATCACAAATAAAAAGAGCTCCATGAATGCTTTGAGCGTTTCACCTTGTAATGCGGGGAAATAAATTTGTACATATTAAGATAAAATGTCTATTATATATCTACTATGAAATTATTTCATCTAAAAATTTAATAAACCTTAACTATTGCAAAGACAAAAGTAATTTGTGAGAAATGAGATGCATAAGTGTGCGTATACAACGAAAAAATGATAAACCAGTAGTTTGAAAGATATTTAAAGACAATGAACAGCTATAGACTTCAAAATTTAACCCTTTAAAATAATTGGTGTAGAGCACACACATATAATTTTATTATCAGTTGAAGGGTCTGGTGCCAAAATGGAGAAAGCATCCCCTTTTCAACATGGACATTCACTCCCTGTAATTCGTCTTGATAGTGTAGAATGAGTATTCAATTGGTCAGTGATATGGACATATGTATTATAAGGACATATCTTTGAAAAAAAAAATTATTTCGTTAGAAATATCAGGTAGTATGATTTTCTTTGATGTGTATGATATCTTTTCTTAAAAATATATATATAAAGCGTTTCACTAAAGTATGCAAACAGAAACCCGGATATACACGTATTCATAAATTTGATAAGGAAGTACCAAAATGGAAAATATCCTTCAAGGAAAGAGAGTTGTTGAACAAATCCCGAATATGAGCGAATCTGATTTCAAAGACAAGAGAGACTGTAAAGTGTTAATTTTTTAACACTCTGTCGTAGGAATAAGTGACTTTAGATATTTTGATATGGATAAAATCATTAAGATATGATCTTAATACATATGAAAACTTCCTATATCTCTACTGTGTTTTTCACTCTGCAGCGACAGAAATGTTTTCTGAAACACCTTTTATTCAAACATAAAATTTCTTTGGTATTAAGAACAAAATCTAGGCTCTGTAAAATAATTTGAACAAATATTGATTCCTTTATGTGGAATGCAAAATATTAAGCTGACTAAATGCAGCTTTTCGAATAATGAAAAAAAGAATTAAGGTTTGACCTACAAGGTATCCATGCCAAATCTTAACACTCTATCTTTTTATATGTAATACTTAAACACAAAATAAAAGGTTTTCTCACTTCAGATTAGTTATTTTATGTTCAGATGATGATTGTTGATTTCTAAATACAGTGCATCAGTTCAGAATATTTGCTACCTTTTGTTTTCTTTCATTTTGTAAAATTTTACTCACATTGTAACACGATTAGTTGAAAAAAGCAAAGTTTTTTTTTTTTGAGAAAAAAAAAATCGAATCAATGAAAAGTTAGTTCAAGTACATATACATAGAGTTGAAACACACAAACTATGATCAGAAATGCTTTTTTCAAGCTTTTGGCTGAGCTGAATGAAAAGATCAAACTGATTATCGGTATATGTACCTGTAAGTATTGAGTCCGTTTAACTTTCATCTTAACAGTGAAATCTGTAACCGTTGTTAAAGTTGGTTGTGAATTCTGTATCAAACTGCAGTCAAATGATTGTCCATCTGTTCTATTGTCGATGCCTAACCTTTTGATAACTGCAGCTGACAACATTAAAGGTAATAGCCTTCTTTCAAGGCATATCCCAACAATGTCATTGAATGTGATGTTAATATCTTTATCATAAATGCACATTTTGAGGTATTTGCCTCGGTTTTCTTCAATTGTCACCTGATATGCAGAAGCATTCTGTTTGTATCCAAGGATATGATTTAAAAGATAGTCTGAAAAAAAAAAATAAATCTCTATTGCACAACTAGATTGTTTTCAATATTAAAGTTTCGGTATAAAATGAAGTATGATTATTAAAGAAATCACCATTTTTGCGACAGGACCCAGTAATTTCATGCGTTGGAATTTTACTTTTGTCGGAATATTCTTTCAAGATCTTCAGTGTTTCATTAAAAGGTGCCTGAATATGCTCGAAAAACCGTATCATTTCATTTTCCAGTGTTCTAAAAATTAAAGGAAAGACTCAATCGGTCGATTGTTTAAAATAATGAAAATAAAAATATCCCTGTCCACCGATACATTAATGATAAAATTACAGGAATAACTTCATGTGGATAACTATCGTTTAACATTATACAAATTAAATTACCTGTTGTAACCTTGAATCTCCCTGCACATCAAAATGAAGGATAAACAGGTACATCTAAAAAACACTAAACAGAAAAAGTCAAGTTTTAGTATAAAACTTTATGAACGTCGTTTTCAGTATCTTTTTTAAACCCTCTGACTTACCTACAGTTGGGAATTTCATGGCTATGTTTCACGCTTCTGCTTCCAAACCTGCATCAAGGATAACAATTGAAGTACTGTATGCGAATGTGAGTTTACGTGTTATTTTGTCAGTGTTGTGTATCGTATTTATAAAGCTTCCTGTAATATTTTTTACTTATTAAGCAACGTGCAACTCATAAAATAAGTAGAGAAAACAGATTTTAAATGCTTTGTTACAATATTTTGTGGACAATGAAGGAGTGTTTTTATAAACAGTCTTTTTTAGAACCAGTTTTATTTTTGGAGTCAGGGGTCCCTAGTTCATGGGAGAAAAACATTGATTTCTGAGTTGAAGATGTTATGCATGAAACTACATTTCAACATTAATTCATACATTTTTTAATGCCACGAAAAATGACAAAAGTCATTCCCAAAACACAACTAGTCATTTCGAAGTATTTGGAAAAATTATCTTGCTGCATAAACAGTTTTGTTAACTTTGAAATTTACAATAGGATACTGTGCAGAAAATATCAATAACAATAAGGAAGGATGCATTTGATTCTCATCCAGAAGCAGAAGTTTTCATTAATCTTGTAAGATAATACACAATAATTCTGATGTTCTTCCCGGAAGGATATATATGAGTAATGTTCAAGCTGCTCCGAATAAATTGATAAAAGCAGTATGAAAAACAAACAATTGCTACACGCACTTTTAAAATTTAACATTTACAGCAAATAACTCACCTTCCGGCAAAGGCGGATTCAGAGCCGGCTTGCCGGGCGTGCCAAAACCCTCCCCACCCCTGTTTGAATATTGTATTTGAAATTTTGTTTGTACTGGCCGAAAATCAAGGAAAAACACCTCTCAAAAATCCTTAACCCCCACCAGGGCTTTGCCGTGGACATACTGGGGGCTTCAATGCAGTCCAAGAACCCCCAACCTTCTGCTGTGCCCCTCCCGCGTTATGAAATTCCTGGATCTGCATTTATAATTTTTTGTTGCAACTAAATGAACATTATTAAACCTTTGAAATATAGTTCCTAAACAAATCTACACGACAAAATGTTAAACATTTCTAATGTTTTACTGAACGGGCTTAAAAAATGAGATGTTTGGCCGCTTCCGTCATACAGTTGGCGAAGCTTAATCTCAATTGCATTCGTTGCATTATGTTCAGCAGTGACGAACCCGAGGTGACATCACGGAAGACAGTACAAGATACATGTACAGTGTATCTAAAAAAAGAATTGAAATAAAATGAACGGTATAACAAAACATTTATTGACTGTGTTCCCGGGCAAGTTGCTTTTCTGTCGACCCTCGAACAAAACTGTGTGCCTTCCGCCTAACCGCCTCAGGCAAACTGTTTGATTCATAGATTCGACAAAAGGCATGTTGCCCTCGAACTCAGTCACTAACTTAATGTATCCATCGATACATCCTCAAGTAAATTTTTAACAATCAATAAGGTCTATATTCTAATTCAATTTGCTAATTTATATATTTTAAACAATTTTTTCTGGAAATTTTATTGGAGATATATTAAGTATAAAGAAGTGCTCGTATAGACACTGTTTTAAAACCGATTTTTTTTTTTGTTAAGCTCTGTTATGAATTATTATTGTCTGACGTCACGGCGTCAGGCACTACCAAGGATCATTATTGATTTAAACAATATTTATTCAGTAAACTGAATAGATTGGGCAACAGGCTTAAGCCTATAGATACCCTCTCAAGGATCATTATTTCCTAGGTGCGAAGCTAAGAGGTCACAGTTAGCCAGCAAAATTTTGTGCATGCTGATTATCATAGGATTTTGTTACATGCGTTTCAGAAATAACAGTTAGCAGAAAAATAACCATATTGCTGATACAATACATTGTTGTATTTATTTCCTTTAGTTTTTATGTCAAAATATTTCTTGATAATTTCTTTTTGTTCCTTTATAATTCTACAGTGTTTGCATGGCTTCATCAAAAATTAATTCAACTCGGGGGGGGGGTAATTGGATTGAATTTCAGCTAAAAATTAATAACAGTGACATCAAACTTTCAAGGTTTAAATACATGTGCATTTGTGTTGAAAGTACATCAGCTAGCTAATCCATTGAATATTCACATCTATGTATTCATTGACTGACAATTTTTTTCCCAACACTAATGAACGGCGTGCGCGCTTGTAGTTTCGGGTTAAATGTTAGATATATTTAAGACTATAGAGAACCTACAAACTTTACTCTCTCTTTTTAGTAGTTTAAGTTTTAATTACATGTATGCTTAGAAAATATCTACTGTGTGAATATTTGTCTTACAGGTTCAATGTACATTGTACAGTCAGCCTCTTATAAGATAAAGAACAAATCCCAAGATCAAAGACTTGCTTCAAAGTTAAGGTAACTACACACTGTTAAATAAACTTTAATTGTTATATTCTTCCCAACAAAGTTTGGGATATCCTGGAATCACAATGTCTGTTTTTCTGCCTGTCTACTTGTCTGTAGTATTTTTTGTCAAAAAAATAGTATATTTGTATCAGAATCTTCTTACTTTTTGACAATCTGAATTAATATATACTGTTTGAACATTCCAAATTTAATTGTCAAAATGAAAAAAAATTGCTTTTTATGATTTCATTTTGAAGCATATCTTTCAATAGGTTAATTGTCTTGCAAATTACATCATAGGATTCCTCAAAACACCTAGTATAATATATATAACATTAGTTTTATCTTGTATCATAACTGTGTCAGTGAATTGGGCATACATTTGTTTGCTGATTATACCTAAGTAACTTTTATAACTTGTAGAATTTAAGAATTATTTTTATTTACTTTTGAAATTTTTGTAGAGACCATTCTGTGCCACTAAGAAATTGTTCAGGAAGAGGAGAAATGGTGGATATATATTTTGGGTACGGTACAGTTCAAAGAGGTTTTCAAAATGGTCATGGAAGATCAGAGAGAGGACAACTGAAAAAAATGAAAGATACAGAATGAAAAAGAACAAGGAAATATATGGAATAATTATGAAATCATCATGGGGAGGATGTACACAATCTTGTCTGAATTTGACCTGTAAAGATTTCCCATATTCTTATTCGTTTGCTGGAATAATCAATAACTTGATTTTTCATAAATTAACGATAGGGAATACATGACAAATATCATTGCTAATATTTCAATTTTGCTTTGGACACTTTTGTCTGAATTTGACCTGTAAAGATTTCCCATATTCTTATTCGTTTGCTGGAATAATCAATAACTTGATTTTTCATAAATTAACGATAGGGAATACATGACAAATATCATTGCTAATATTTCAATTTTGCTTTGGACACTTTCAAGTCATACATTTTAAACAAGTACATGACCTAATTATGTCATTCATTTGTACATGTATACATGTTTAAATGCTTAATCATTTTGGCGAAATCTTATAATTTGTACTTAATTTATGTAAAATACATATATCGACAAACGCTACTGACTTGTGTGTATACTTTCTTGTTTAGAATGTACACTGTGAAAAATAATTTATTTCTCTTGATGAAAATAATTTTATCATTCAAAAAAGTTGTGTAAGCATTATAAGATATTTTAGAACATTTACCAATGAAGATAGATCATTATAATACGAGGGTTGTTCGAAAAGTTCGTGGACGATGTCCATCTTCGTTACATTACTCACTGGAAATTTAAAACAAGCACATTATAATATGTAAAAATATTTGTTTTGTTGATGTGTGAAGTTTCCTTCCATTCGATTTAACACAAATAAATTTACTTCATTTTAAAATCAACATGTTTTGTACCCGCGGAGCACACAAAACGGCAATGTAACGTCAACACATAGCGTCGATAATTATAAAAGATACTATACCTATACATTTCACACAGGATATTCTAATGTCCATTCATTCAATCGATCTTTTTCTAATAGTTGACATTTATTTTTTAAGAATTGATCTCATTGTATAATTTCCTTTGTTAAGGTTTTAATTTCTTTTAGTGCTTAACTCTGCTTTCACAGGATAAGCAACTCTGAAGCGCCTTTGTCTTTCAATTACGTTTCAAATTTTAAAGTGTTGTTCAGATGTTTACAGTAAAACCGTTTCTTCACAGGTCATCATCATCCGATACAGAGTCTCTGTCACTCAGATATTGTCTGTACTATTTATACACACATGCACAGCTCGCTTGTGACATATTTTATTGATTCCTTCAACATTTTTAGAGTTTATTCAGGATTTTTCCTGAGAAAAACGCAAAATTGCTTCGGTATCTGCTGCTCCGTGACGTTCTAAAAGGTCACCGTTTTTGTTGTTTTCAATAAGGACTACTTATCTTCTCAAGTTGATTTCTTTTCAACAAAGCAAAATATAAAACCATAATTTGGTACACGTATCGATGTAACAATTTTTAATATGAATCTCTAGTTAGTTTTTCGTTTTTCCTCCATTTTACAGAGAATATTGCTATAGACACTATTTATTGTATTGTCTGTAACATACTAAATTTTGACCTGCTCTGCGATCCGATTTTTGCATTTTTAAAACCTGGATAAGTTTTTAATCAATCGTAATATTTTGTCAAAATTAATACATTTCATTTGGATTAATTGTTAAAATATTTCTAGCAAATTTGGATAACATATGACGTCAAATAAAAAAGATATGACAGTTGTCCACGAACTTTTCGAACAACCCTCGTATAATGAATTTTATCTAAAGCAGAAATATCTGATTTTTAAATGTGTACAAGAATGTGAAAAATATTGAAAGAGAACACTCATTACTGTTGCATATGATAGTAGTGGAGTTCGCGTATATAGATCACGATTCAAATTTCGCGCCAATGACGTCATCAAACTTTCAACCAATCAGAAGACAGCATTTGAATTTTGGTCACGTGACCCTATAGACGGGAAAACCAGATTTT